CAAGAGCCACTTGATTTGATAGGACCAGAAAGGCAAATTTGCTTATTTTTTTAAGGAAAAAAATTAGCACTTAAACTTTTATTCGGACAATTAAGCCAATTTTTAGGAAAAAAATCAGTTAGATAGAATTTTTTTTTTTTTGTTTTGGAGGGCACCAATAGAGGAGGGATAATAGAAACTAGCCATGTCCGTCAAATTAAATAAACCATTATCTCCATTTATTCCACAATTGAGCCATTCTTAATGAGCAATCTAATATAAAGAAATTAGAGGCATAACCAATTATTAGCCCAAAGATTTCACTGCCAGACCAATTGTGGGGATATCAATCATCGAGAAAAATCACATCTGCACGCAGATAATGCTTTTCTTACACTCCCTTCTCACGTACAACCTAACTCAGCCCTCCCCTCATTTGGATGCTCACAGAGGCTAATTGTGCGCTTGTGATTATTTTATTATTATTATTATATCACAAAATTTATTCAGATTATGGTCTTCTCAGACAAATGATTCATTGTGCCCCAATGCGTTGTAGGTCTAGTTGTTATCCACTGAAAAAGATCCAATTGGAATAAATGGCAACTCATTTTCAGAAGTACCTAAATTGGATTTAGCTGGACTTTGGCTAAGAGGACCAAATTGGCTAAAAGAAACACTAAATTCGTTTTAAAATTTTAATTACCAAAAAAAAAAAAATTGAAGGACCACAAGTCACAAGAAGTGATTTTCCGGCACCCAAAAAGTCTATCTGCTTTTATGGTTAGAAAACCATGGTCATCCAGAGAGAAAAGTTGCACGCTTGCATGGATACTTATCCATATATATGAAGCCAGAAAATGAAAGGAAAGCAAGAGAAAATGTATGGGTCCTCCTTGCACTGGTGATATTTTGACTTCACAAGAGTTTAAGTGTTCATAGAAAAGTAGGGAGGGGCAAAAATAAGCAGAAAGGAGGGTTGAACACTGTAATCACACATGGGGGTTCCATTCAGCCGTGACAGGAGGGGGAGGAGCCACGTTCCTCTCATCTTCGATTTGTTTGTGCTCTAAAATAACCTATCTGTAAAATTTAGATTTGTTTTGGTATTGTCTTACTCTTGCACCTCTGAATTTTGATATTATTCCTTTTAGCCCTACATTTGCACCCCAAAATTGTTTAAGTTTTTTGGAGCTGTCTTCGCTATTTTTACAATGGAATGGTGATGTAAAATATGTCAGATGATGTTGTTTTTACTTTCTTTCTCATCAATCTTATGTATCAATCTCCTATACACTGACAAGTGTGTTTGGACAGGAGATTATTTGCCCAAATATATTTGCTTACATCACTATTACAATTTTCAATATACCTTTCTATCTTCGCAATTACCTTTTTTTTATCTCACATACATCACATCACAAAAAGTGCTACAGTAAAAATATCTCAAATAATTTACATCTGAATTTGAATTTGGCATATATGTCGTATATTCAATCGTGATAATGTATATACCGTCAGTGTACATAAGATTTACTTAAATTTTATGTACTTAACATTACATATATCCAACCATATGAATTACAAGAGAACCAAACATTCATTTGATTGATTATATACATGTTATCCGCCTAATATAGGTTTCCTTTTTCTACCATTTCATGTTAATATTAAATGGCTGCTCAAAGGGCAATTGTATTTTAAGAGTCTCAATAATACCACCTATTGTAGTTCAAAGAACATAAACTCAAAATGCAATTTATTAGAGGCACCCTGATAATTACTCAAGGTATCATTTAAGAGTTAATGAATGAATTTATCCCCCAAGATTTAGTTGCTAAGGCTGAGGTTTCATGAATTAAAAGTCTTGAATTCAAATCTCCCGGTCACCTATTGAAAAAAAAAAAAAAATTTACCCATCAAGGTTGAGGCTAGTCGTGAAGCGTATGTTGCACTGTAAAAAAGGTTAAACGCAAGTTGAGGTCCATATTCAAATCTCCCTTCTCCTCCTCCTCGCTTTTTAAATCTCATCTCTCTCATACTATTATATATATACATATATATATATATATATATATATATATATAGGGTTAAATTCCCTAGATACCCCCAAATTATTAACCAAGTTGCAAAACAGAAAAGGCATAAAGTTTGACATCAACATCCTTGTATTTTGTGCTTCATTTTTCAACTTGTTGGTTGAGAGATACATTCATGTTGAACAAACAAGAAAAAAACAAGAGCCATTTGGATATTTTCAATGAGAGGCATGGTGATTTGGTTTACCAAAAAGTAGCAGCAGTAGCAGCAACAATATTGCCAACCATTGCTCCCAAAAAAAAAAAAAGAAAAAACATGGGCAGTTGGCTCTAAGCAGTAAGCAGCACAGATTGATTGTAGACCTCAAAGTTTCTCTGCCCTAAGACCCAAAGTTCCATTCAGCTTTTAACTGTCTGGAAGAAAAAACATAAATGGAATTTACAGATTACTAAGGCAAGTAAATTTTTTCATTTCCAAATATTTTTCAGGGTTCAACAGAGAAAGACCTCACCATTTCTTGCGCAAGAGGAAGAACACAAGTTTCGGCCATGACAACTTGTGGCCCATGAGTACCATTTTGGGCTCTTTGTACCCAAGGCATGGGAAAGTCCAAGGTCATCTTTCTCCCCAGTCTTTTAAGGGAGTTTAATTTCAGTGAAGATCAACCTACCAAGAATTCAAGATTCTAGGTGATCGGTGATGAATTTCGAAGTTGATAGATTTCTTTAATTTTCTTTTCTTTTTTACATTGATGTGGGCTGGATGTCTTTAGCTTTTCAACTGCAGAAAGATTGAATTTTAGCCAAGTTTTAGACTTGCTTGAGGGTTGGCCAGGATGAATTTCTAGATTACTGCATTGAATTACTCATTCAGTTATTGACAAGCTTGTCAATCTAACATGACTTCTTTATAGTTCCTATCCCCCCGCCCCTAACCAAAAAAAAGAAAAAAGAAAAAAGAATTGGTTTCTCTTTTTTCCTTTGATTAAAGTTGTCTAATGCATGAATACCATAATGTATGCAATATATAAATTTCATCACCAAGGCCACACCACTCTGTAAATGCTACAGATTAAATTGTTAAGAATGAAATTTCATAAGCTTGTAACTACTTGTAAAAGTAACTACTAATTGATGCGAGACGAGGTACAATATATAGATTGACTTTTTATGCACTGACAGTGAGACGAGATACAATATATAGATTGACTTTTTATGCACGGACAGCATATTGATTGTTATCTTTTTACACTAATAATTTTAGATATATGTCACATATTTATCATTTGAATCTCAAATTTGAATTCATGTCATTTGACATGATCTAAACTTGCTAGTATAAAAAAAAAAATACACACTAATAATACTGTATAAAATAGTCATCCATAACATATAGTAGTATATTCATATCATAACCATTTGCTTATTATATTTCTTTGCGACGACATGGAGATGTCAATCCTTGGAACACAACATAAATTTCAGCGCCGAACATTAGATTCAGATTACCATCTTCTTCTTGATGTCCATAAAAGGAAAGAAATGCTGATAGAGTCTTACAATTTACGGATTGAATTTTGGGTTATAAGCGATGGTTATGGTCAAAGTCATCCAACTTTGGCAAGGCTCCAAGAAAGTTGTCATCAAAATAGTGACATTGCGGTACGAAGATTAATCCACACCCACTTGCCAATAGAAGCCAAAAAAAAAGCCATCCAATCGGCTAATAGTCTAATAATAACCAATACCCTCTTTGGTCTTCCAATGTGCTTTATAAGTCACAATAACGCGTGGACCAGCTGCTGTTTGGCCAATTCTGCCTGACTTACCAGGCCAACATTCAATCTACACCAGTAAACCAAATTTTCAAAAAGTAAACCATGCAGAGAAAGAAAAGCTCTACCTTGACATGATCAACCAAAAGAAAAAATGAGAGACATTTTGGTTTACATTTGAGCTCAGCAACACAAGTTTTAAGAACAGACATTTATTATGGGCATGATTGGATATGTGCCATAAAAGGCCATTGCCAGGACAAAGATTAAAAACAGTCAAAAAGCAACTATCAACACATGGTAGAGATGATGCAGAATGCTAAAAGGGAGGGCCTTACCTAGTTTAGTGTTTCATCAGTTTTAGAAAGGGCAGTAATGCTAATGATCTGTACTATAACCATTATTGGAGCAGGATCATTGAAAAATGGGATATGAAAATTCCAAGAGGAAGGAGGGAAATAGAAGAGTCACTAGAAATTCAAGAGAAGGTCTATGTTCCTCATAAACTAAGCATCAGGTGAGAAGAGTATACCAATCCCATAATAGTATGTCCACAGAAAAGGATACAAACTATAGGCATCATCATCCTCATCCTCAAACAACTATAAAAGTACCAAAACATCAGTAAATTCCCTAAATGGAGTGATTAAAGTTCAATACCCATAATGCACCAGAAAATTTCAAAACTTAGAAGAAATATGAGTATAAAAGGATACAAGAAATGCTATAAGAGACGCTATCAAAAATTTAAATAGAGGATAGCATTTTTATACACAGAAATAAAGGTACAAAGGTCAGAAGCATAAGAATATTTCTAGCACTGAGTATAAGATCCAAATGTTGAGCACCGAGTACAATAAGTAGAGCATGAGAACCTTAAGAATTCAATCAAGAGGTTTATAACTGAAGAATAATTAAATTCATTGTCATGGTGTGCTTAAGGAAATACACTTACAGGAAAGCCCCCTGCCCCCACCCCCGCCCCCCCAAAAAAAAAAATCTGCAGCTAGCCTACATATAAAATTTTACTTGTCTGTAACCCTACCTCCTTAAATGTTACATTTCTTCTCTGCATCAGTTGCTGATCTTCACTACGTCACCTAAATCTAAAACTTGATTGGCAATAAACAGGCTGCAGTTGTTGCACAATCGACCTCTGAGAAGAGAACCTGAAATGAGTATTGATAAAACAAAGGGAAAGACTACATACTTCCAAGGACATCTTGCATTGAAGAAATTGCTACATTTCACAGCAGAAGCTAAAATACAAAGGGATCAGTCACCAAGGTCATGGCAAAACCTATGTAGAACCCCAGAAAAGTCAGTAGCTTTCTTTCCTATATTATTGATCCCTCCATCTTGGACTTGGGATCGCGAAAAATCCAGATGGGGACAAAGGAAACCCATAACCAGGAGATGGAGGCACTTGAGGCCCAGGGCCTAGTATCCCTGACTGAGCCATGGGAGAAAACGAGAAATTAGGAGTCATTGGAGGAGGGTGCTGAAAACCAGGAGAAAGCAATGGATACGATGATCTAGGAGAAAACAAATTTAAGAAACCAGTTGGCGATGGCAAAAGAAACTGAGAAGTTGGGGAAGGCAAAAGTGGAGGCGGACCATTTGTTCGGGGTGAAGGAAGAGAGGGTGGAGGACCATTCATCCTAGGAGATGGAAAAGGTGGAGGGCCATTCATCCGAGGAGATGGAAGTGGTGGAGGCATGTTCATTCTTGGAGATGGGAAAGGCGGCATATGCGGATTAGGAAGTAAGCCAGAAGCAGATGGCTGAGCTTGATTTGGACCAGGACCTTGAGGTATTGACTGGGGAAAAGGTTGCCTTGGCCCTGAATCTATGATTGAATTTTGAAGGTATCGCATGTAAACTGATATAGGAGACTCAGCTGTGTTTGGCCAAGCATCACCAGGAGTGAAGGGTGGCAGCATAGTTGGTGACGGTTGGCCATACTGGGGAAGAGGAGGTCTTGTGAAGTTGTTGTATGGAACACTGGCTGGAGGCTGCGCGGGAGCTGGCACTGGTACAGGAGGCTGCATCACCATAGGAGGTCGATTTATTGGTGTCAAGGGCGGTGGCCGAATCTTCTGCAACCGCATACTTGCAGGTTTGGGGGGATTTTGGGGAGGCCTAGGTGCAGATGGTTCTTGATTATGCAAAGGTGAACCAGTTAACTTTTGCACTATGTTCCGAAAATCATTTTTATTAATATTATACACCTGAGGCTGAGGTTGCTGCCTGGCAGCATTAGTAAAATTGGGTTGGTGCATTGGACTCTTCTTTATGTTCTTCCCTATCTTGTTCACACCCAAATTATCCGTATGCCGATTCATCTGCCTATTGGTATTATCCATATCAACACCTCGAACCGACCAACAAATACAGAATGGTGCAAGCTCAAATTTCTTTTCTTCTTCAGCTAGTGAATCCAACAATTACCATCTCAAGCATCAAAACAACACCTGATGCTCGAACCAAAGCAAAACTTAAAACTTATGTGTCTGTATAAACTCTCCACAATCTTCAGATCCTTTCAGAGTATTTCAAGAAATTCTCAAAATTTCAACTGCAAGCAAAACCAATTTCAGGACGAGAACAGCACCAAACTCAAGTAAAAAGCATAACCCTTTACCATAAACTCTTGAATCCAACTAAAAACCAGATCAATTTAGCTCCAATACGCCAAAAACCGAGCACTTTTACGAAATTCACAAGCAAAAGGGCAACAAATCTCAGCAAATATCGATCTTTTCACAAAAAAGTAACTCAAACCCCAAAAACCCTTCTCTCTCCGGATTTAAAAAAAAAGTGGCAACATACACCAATTAATTTCACTTTTCAATCCCCCAGATTCAGTCAACCACCTTTGTTCTGTCTTATCCAATCAAGATTCCTTTTTCGTTTCTACTTCACAAAAGAGCAAATAAATGCTAACAGAGATGAAAGAGAATGAAAATGATAAGGAGATGGAGAACTTTACGCCTGGACAAGCGGTTCAGAAGAGGGATATGCCCTGTGGGATTTTGCTTGCTAGACAGACGACGATTCTTGAATTGCTGCTTTTTCCTTTCTTTTCTCTTCTTTTCCTTCCATTTCCTTTCCCCTGAATTTTCTTCTTCAATCTCAGGAAACTTCTGAAGAAGCCCTTTTTCTGGAAATGAAAATAAAAGAAAACCCTAAAGCTAAAAGCGCAGAGCAGCGGCTAAGCTTTTCGGATGTTCGACTTTGAGGCGGTAAGGGAGGAGAGCAATGTCGTTGGTCAACTGAGGAAATGATAGTGAAAAGGAATTAATAATAGTAGAAAACACAAAAATGTTTTTAAGTGGTTTTTTCTCACAACTTTTCGGTTTGGGCAGTGGGCGTCGCTTTGAAGTTTGAACTGAGTGACGCCACCATTACCTCATGTTTCACACTACCACACACAGTGAAAGTTATACAGCCAGCAAGTCTACTAGTGCATGGCACTAACGTAGGTCGGCTTGAGTATTAGTTTTGCACGTTTGAACAAATATGGAATCAGATCTAAGGGAATAAGCAAAGGCATGAAAAAGAAAGTCAAAACTCAAACCCTTGTTGTATCCAATAGATAACCGTAGTAACATATTAAAGTAAAAATTTATTAAAAATATTTAAAATAAATACCATCTAATTTTTATTTTCAAGAAGTTAAATACAATACTATGAACTCAATTTTTATCGACTATTTCTATTTATTGTCAAAGTTTTAATCATATCAACGTTTAATCTTTCATTTGTTTGCACACAAAATCAATATTATTACCTCTCTTTCTTATATTTTCCTCCTTCACGCCACTTTTCCACTCCACAACCCATTTTTCTCTCGATACTCCCCTTCTTGATCTAACTTTTTTACATCCCTATAACCCTTTCTTGTTCTCCCAAATCCTACTTTTGTTTTGCTCTATCTTGTGACCACCCAATTATCCTATCTTTTATCCAATTCTGTAGCCTACTTGTCTCTTATCCTACTGTTATTTTCGTCTATTTATAGCTGAAAATGGTAACCCGTTGACTTGATTTGCCCATCAACAAATAAGCTTCCGTATGTAATTTATTTAGACACAGATCCAAACTCAATCATGAGTGGGTAAATCTAATTTCTCTAATAACTATATTCTAATTTTTGTAAAGACATATTTATCATTTTTCCTATTCTTAATTTCTATTCTTTTTTTTATTTTATCCTTTTCCTCCTTTCCTTTCATAAAAGTCTAATAAATTATTTTTACATTCTTGAAGAGTGACAGAATTTGAAACTTATTATGATCGCCATTTTAGGTTCCTCTGTGCAATTTTTTATATTTTTCTCTTTATTTTTGAGTAAAAATTGATTTACTAATTTGATATGTTGTTATTTTTTTTAAATACAATGATATACTATTTTGTTGCCAAACAAAATATGGAAAAATTAAATAAAATTTAATAGTGGGCCCATTCAAAATGATTTAGTTATATAATAAGGTGAATAATTATGAAAATGTGGTAATATGACAAAATAAATGGGATATTCTATGTAGAAGAAAAGTGATAGAGATATAATATGTTGATTGTTTTAAAAATGAGTATAATCAAATCATCCCTTATACTTGACAAATGAATCTTCCTTTTTATATATAGAAAAATCATTTCATTCAAACAAATATACACTAATGGCAGAAAATACATCAAACAAACATGACACATATACATATAGATCTGAAATCAATAGATATAACAGATCTAAAAAAATAATACAAATAAAGATAAAATTGATACTCCTATATATCTTTCATTAGGATAAATCATTGTAGCCCAATGTATCAGTGTATATTTGCTAACAATTAGATCTATTTAAAATTGGTTCAAGTTTAAAGAAAAATTTAGATCTGACAATAATAGAAAACTTGCAGATTTGAGAAACTAACCTAAAAAACTCTCACAAGAAAAAACTCAGAAGAGAATAAAATTCTCATTAGAACAATTTAGGAGAGAAAAAACTCTCACTTGGAGATCCTAGGAGAGAAGAACCTCTCATTAGGAAATTCTGAAAGAGAATTTATTCAAATATGAGAAACTAAAAACTATAAAGAGTACTTCCTCCCATGAAAAAATATCAGATTTGGCCTCTCTCCCATGAGAGAGATAAAGAATATCTTGATGGAAGAGTCTCAGAGAGAAGGGAGAGAAAAGAGTTTTTTGACAAATGAATATTCTATAGATATAAAAATGAACCCTAAATTGAGTTAGGTAAGTACAGTTATTGTTACAGAGAAATGGATCTTTTATCTAACATCGAAGATGCAGACATCAAAGTAATGTAGATTTGATAGGGTGATTTTGGACCTAATCAATTGATCCATCAAATTCTGGAATTCCAAAATGAATTTGATTAGAAGTATTAGTGGTTAACGGAAGACAAATGAATCTTTAGTTAAGGAGTAAAAGGTTTCTAATTTGGAAGTTTCAATTTTTAAATTTAAGATATTGATAGGTTTTCATTAACTGGATTTATGTATTAAAATAAATGAAAAATCTTAAAACAGAAAAAAAGGAAGAATTGAAAACTATTGAGAGGGTCTCCACTAAAATTTCACTCTATAATACACACACATATATAATTGCTTCATCAATGGTAGAAATTGACTATTATTTGCAAAAAAGAAATTATTTGCTTTCATTACAAATACATTAATAATCATTTTTTTTAATTTTTCTAACTACTTGTTTATATCACATGTAAAAAGAATTACAATTTTTATTCTGAAAAATTTTTCAAATACTCTTCTATCCAAACATCATTTATTTCTAATTGTAATTTTGAAGATTAACGGTACAATCATTGTATCTTTCTGCATTATTCAATGATTGTGATTCTTTACAATAATTAGAGCAATTGCACTGTACAATTGATAACCATAATAGGTTATTAAGTTTGGATGGATATGATATTGATTAGTTGATAACAATTTTCAATGAGTTAGTGACAAAATTTGTTACTCCCTCCATCCCACTTTGATAGTCTTGTTTTCTTTTTTCGTCTGTCCCAAATTGTAGTCCACTTTCCCGTTAAGAAATGTAGTAATCATTCAAATTGTCTAAAATACCCTTATTAAATATCTTGTTATTAATACATTGTTATTAAATACTAACTCACTACATTGAATACATTGAGCTTTTCCAATACTAATCCATTAGCTGTAACGGATATTAATTGACATATTAGCATAAGGGTATTTTAGGAAATTATTAATCTAAATTTATGTTTCCAACCAAATTAATTACACTTTCTTAATCTGTGTGAAAAAAAAAATCAAGACTAACAAAACGAGACGGAGGGAGTATGTTTTTGGCATTGACATTGTGCCTACATTTATTCTGATAATACCTACATCTATTACACATTAATAGTAATGCAATGGACACTAATAATTGCAGAAGGTTTTGATCTATTTTTCTCACAATAATGTTTGACCATAAAACTAATTTTTTTCCCAAAAATCACTTTTCATAATTTATTTTAATCAGAGTAAATTTATCACATTGAACCGTCATTCATAAATAAGAAAACGCTTCACCTGTAATCGATAGGCTTGACGGTGCTGCCGACTATGGGAAGAATAAAACGTGTAAATATGAAGGAAGACCAAAAGGTGGAAGAACAAGTCAAAGGGGATGTAAGTTAAAAGAAGGGATATTTCATTTTCCACATTTTTTAATATAAAATAGTTTTTTTTTTTTAAGCCATAAAAGTGGTGTCACGGCATCTAGTTCGTAAACATGTTCCAACTTCCAAGCAAGTCAAGTGCCATAAAGGGACTTCGGTATGAAGGCGAAGAAATTATTGGGTAAATAGTAATTTAAAAAAGCATTGGATGATTGGGAAGTGGATGGGACATTTGAGAAGATGAGTTGGAGATCCAAATATCAAGGGCCAAGGCTAGTGGGCATTTGTTTTTGCCCTTTTTTTCCTTCTTGTTTTGCTGGCAACTTTCCAGCCATGACAACAATCTTAGGACGTGCATTTGGATAATGTATCATGTATGCCGGTTTCCGCTTTGACCATTCTTAATAGAGATTCTAATAAATACACATTCTTTGACAAGTTTTAAGCAATTCCTACCAATTTTTAATGGCTAATAACAAAAAAATTATACAGAAAAATCCCTCGTAATTTCAAAACGTATGCTTTGAACTAAATTATAAAGGTAACGAAATCCATTAAAATTAACAGAAATAAATTATTAGAACCTAAAAAAAATTTTTATACCTAATTTTTAATAAATATACATGTTCTACCCTTCAATCCCTGATTCTCTCTCTCTAGAGAATGAAACAAATGATATTGTTGAAATGCCTTTTGTTCAGTTATATCAGAGTATTTTTATCATTTCGTCCGTCCCCGTTAAGTTTAACGAATTCCGTTACCTTTATAATTTAGTTCAAAATATGAGATGCCATTTTATATATTTTAAAATCATAGAGGACTTTTTTATATATTAACTTTTATTACTGGGGCCTTTTTTATTTTTTACCCACTTTTAATACATAGAAGGATGAATACATAAAAGCAATTTTAAATGGGCCAATTTGTAGTGAATTATTTTGAGTGCCCCCCGGACCCCACCCAACCCCAGATGAAGATTGGTCAAACAATGAGAAACTAACGAATTGTGTTGGAATTTTATGGGTAGACATGATCGGTTGCGTTTGGACCACTGGGTGAAGTAAAAATGTGTAGCATTGGCTGAGGGATTAAATTATCAGGTATTTTAAAACTAGATCTATCCATGTTAACTATTGAATATTTAAAAATCGGATTTATCCAAAATTTGGCTTTGACTTGGAACCCATTGGGAATACGTGTTTAATTTCTAACATTGGCTGAAGAATTATATACAGTAATTTCGGCTTTTAGTCAACAAATCTGAAACCAAGTAGGGGTTTCGTTCAAATGTGTCGGTTAAATATTAATGCTCTGATTTCCTTTGGAAAATGATATGATATTGTCGGAGCATTTTTGCTTTACAAAAAATTAAAGAATACCTTTTGCAAGTCAAAACACAATTCTGACTTGATAATGAAACGATTGAAAATTTATTCGGGAATTGTTATGATATTAAAATTTGATCGAAAAGTGAATTTTTTAACTAAGAAATGTTGTCGTTGTCAATTAATACCAACCTGACCAGCTACCTGGAGAAATCAGACTAGCAAGTTGCAAGCTGCAAACAGAAACGTGTACGCTGGTCCTGACTTCAGACCGTCATTTCTTTTTTTTTGGGTTGGATCATACATCGGTTACGGGGAAAGGACAGGTTCAATTAAATCTTAAGAATCAACATGAACTGAATCATCATCGAAATAGACAGACGTGCGAAGCACCTGTTGGATTCAGAAGAAATCATATGTTAAAGGGTAAAATATCAAAAAATTTCTTGTGATTTATTAAATATTTAATTTAACTCCCTCTGATTTAAAAATCTACACTATAATTCCCTGTGATTTCAACTAATTTGAAAATTGGACGAAAAGTGTCCAATTTAACCATTGAAATATCAATATTGCTCCTATATAAATGAACTCTCTATAGTTTGTCGAATGTTCAATTTAACTCTCTCTGGTTTAAAAAATTACACAATAATTCCCTGTGATTTCGACTAAATTAAAAATTGAATAGAAAACATCGTACGCATAATAGAAGCAATATTGACATTTCACAGACAAACTTTAGATTGGATGGTTTCTATCCAATTTTCAATTTAGTCAACACCGCAGGGAATTATAGCGTAGGTTTTCAAACTAGAGGGAGTTAAATTGAACATTTATCAAACCATATGAAGTTTTTTGGTATTTTATCCTATATTAAATGATAATTTTTTTTTTATCAGACGGCAACAATTAATGTAGTTTACTATTAATCCTATTCTAACTTACACTTTGGGAGAGCAGGGAGGGGCAAGAGGCCTAACAGGACTTGGAAAAACTGACGAGAATTGAATCACTGTCGAATCACACAAATACACTACGCATCCGTGTAAATTTTTTTAAAAAAAACCATATATAATGACATGGAAGGTAATATCTGAAACTATTGATCTTCCACCTCATAAAAGTGGCCAAAGCTCTGGCAAGCTGTTGGTTACTTCAAACCATCGCGTGAACGAGGAAAACTTCAAACTAGACAAGGCAAATGCAATTCTCTTTCTATATTTAGAAAGGGAAACTGCTATATGCTAATTTTATTGGTTTGTTATGAAGTTTTATCAAGTTTGACTGTAACTAAAGTGCTTTTACGTGAAATGTGCCGCATGCATAATGATTAGACAAGTCCATTTTCTTGACCGGTGCTAAGCTAGAGAAAATGGAGACTTTAATCCAGCCAGATCTTCAAGAAACAGAGAACAAATGTTAATTCAAACTTAAATTAGCAAAGTCCTTGTGATTCTGATAAGTGATTCTCATGTGGGTAGGGCAATAGATCCCAATGTCCACCAGAATTGCATCTCTTCTAACTTGGTCCCCTACTAAAAGAAACCACAAAGAAGAAAGAAGGAAAAGCATTCACTGCTAATGTATAATTAGGCACAAATAAAAGGATCTATGTTTATCAAAAGAATAAAATTGAAATTAAAAAAAAGAAACTAAAAACAACGAAAGGATTTTTAAAAAATCCAAAAACGAAATACGGAAGTTAATTGAAAAAAGGTTGGCGTTTTGGGGTGAGAGAGGCTCGAACTCTCGACCTCAGGATAACTCAGAAGCTATGAGACCTACGCGCTAGCCAACTGCGCCACCACCCCTGTTTGTTCCTACGACCCTGGAATCTTTTTATAATATTAAAAGTGCTGCAGGTTACACGTTTCAGCCGAAGGGAAAAGCAAGGGAATAGGCAGCGAATACACTTGGCAGCAAGCCTATTGTTAAAGTTTGCGTTGATGTTTGGTCGTATTTTGAACAGTCTCCTGACTTGACAAGACCCACAACCTGAAACCCAAAAAAAAACTTCGGTTTTCACTGTTCACATCCAAAGCTCGCATAATTTCCAATAAAATTTTCTACATTTTTGTTGTTTGCTAAAGAACCCGATTTGCTCTTAAGGCTCTCTCCCACTGCCAATTCCAATTTCTAGTATTAGAAAGGGATCTTTAACATGGATGAGAATGTGTGCAGAACTTGTCTTGAATGAGGTACTAATTTCTTGCTTTTAGTGTTTTTTTTTTTTGTAGAATCTGTTTTGTGTACTAAGTAGTAGTACAATTCATTTAGTGATATCCACAAGCAAATTTGATACGTGTGTTTGTTTTATCTGCGAATTTTATTTTTGTTTGTGATTTAGTTTGGAAATGAGCAGTTGGGCGTTTCTTGCAGTCAAGGGCTTAGCTTTGCATTCTGACATATCTTGAACACTTTTTGGTTGTCAAGCAAACACCTTTATACCAGTTTTGAAGTAGATTTCTTTATGTTTTTTTGAATTAAGTGTAGCTTTTGCAGAGATGAATTTTCCCTCTTATAACTGGGAACCATCAGTTTTAATAGGAAAAAGGACACGTTTCCCCAGCTTCAGCTTGATTTACAAAATGAATGGGGATATTGGTTATCTAGCATTATCTCTTTACTTTTCTGGAGTCCCTGACTTCTTAAAACAAACCCCTTTTCTGGTGCAATTAAGATTCATTCTTATTTTCTTGGTATGGCGATGAAGACTTGTGTTGGATCTAGTTCACAAAGTTTGATGCTTTATGAGTCTGTTTGCGGTGGCCTGGCTAATGTCAGTTCAGTTCATTATGTTTCGTTTAATGGATCTCAGTTTTGTTGAAGGTTACAGTTATCTTATGATGGTATTAGTTTGCCTTGTCTTCTAGATTCTGCTGCTGAACTTGTTAAATTTATATTGTATGTTGAGCTTGTACATGTGCGAAATGGAACTTTATTGCATTAGGATTCCATGCCTCTAGGGTGTTTGTGCGATAGATTTCACTGTCTTATCCATTATTTGGTTTGAGTGTTAAGGTTCCTGAGTTCAAAATTCATGGTTGTTTATCTTTTATATGGGTAGTTCATGTTGGATGTTTGAAGAGGTTCACAAGATAGCAATTTAGTTGACATCTGTGTTGTACATGTGACACGGAGAAGAGGATCAAAAGTTTTTGTTTTGAATGGATGGTGTTCATCCTCGTCGATCTCTGATGAGGCTATTTTTTAGTGCACAATACTTTTTCATATTTGGAAGTTTGTTATGTTCATCTGGAATGATTTATGTACTTTGAAACTGCTAAGATCCTTAATCAATGGCAGAAGAAATTGTACCCGTGCCCTTGGCTTGGTAGCACATCATTATAAGGTTTTCAGTGCCCCTTTTGATACTGTTCCAATCACAAATATTTAAGAATTTTAAACTGAAGTCAGATAAATAGCTGTCTAAAAGGATGCTTGCTTCGTGGAATTTAGTATAGAATGATTTTTGGGACTTGAGAAAACTTATGCACTGGTTGACATAAATAAATATTCCTTTCTCATGTTCAATGCTTGAGCTGTTTTCGTGCTTTTTAAAGCTAATGTGTGACAGTTAAGATAGTTTGCCCCATTTCAGAACTAGAGGTGACAATTTTCAAGTTTGTGCATTCTGAAATTCATACCATCTCTCAGGTCTTGGGAACTGTTATGTTAGATATACGGCCCTCTGATTGATTGATTTAGGATGTAGTCATTCCATGATGTGAATCATTATGCAATCAATGTTTGTTCTTTACACAAAATTACTGAATCTACGGATCATTTTCTGGTATTTACATAATTATATATCCCAGTGTAATTTCATTAAAAATAATCAAATAAGGAATTTACCTTGTGGACTTGCAATTAGCAACTAAGTACAGATGTACAGCAAGAGCTTGTGTTGAGTAACATATATTCTTAATATCCTTAAAAAAAAAAAAAGAAATTTCCACTTTTAGGTCACGTAAAGCTGCATTTCCATGGGAGAACCTGAAACTATAGTTTGTACTGTCAAAGCATTTTGTACCAAATATATACTGTTAAAATTATTTTCATATTTGCAGTTTTGCATGTATGGAGTTGTGAAGCAACATCAGATAAGCATACTACTTAAGGATTGATGCTTTTGTGATGTTGGGTGGATTCTTTAAGAGGTTGTATCAGTAGTAGCTAATTATTGTTTGGAAGATCCTTACAAGCTTTTCACAGCAGAAAGCATAAGTGGAAAAGTTGTATGTTGTAACAAAGGTTTTGACCCGTTTGCTTGAGAGATGGATATTGCACAGAATGCTAATATATCTGGTGGGAATCTCTCTCTGATAACATCTATTGATCAAAACGATCAAGGTAGAAGCCATCATGATATTATGATGCGCCGTCTAAAAAATAGAGAACGGCAACGTAGATATAGAGCTCGGAAACGTCTTGCAGCTGAGAGAATGCTGACATCCCATCCAGTGCAGTACCTGGAAGCCGATACAAAGAAGGCACCTGCCTCTATGCCACTGCCCAAAGAGATCAAGCGGAGGCGGCGGAGGAAGAAGGAAAGTAGCATGGATCAATTTACTGCAACTCAAATAGAAATGCCTTTGCATTACACTGAAGCTGATTCAAAGAAGGGACCCACCTCCCTTCCCCTGCCCAAAGAGATTAAGCGGAGGCGACGGAGGAAGAAGGAAATTACCATGGATCAATTTATGCCGGTGCATGTACAAATGCCTTTGAGTGACACTCCTCAAGAGTTTGCAACTCGGGTACACAGCCGAAGAGATTGGAAAAGAGATGCGAGAAGGGCCCACGCATTGAAAGAGCAAGAAGTTAGAATTCATGGCCCTGTTATTCCGGTGGTAACATCTGTTAGTGCAAGCCAAGTCCAGTCTTTTGCTTCTGCCTTCTATCCTCATTCAGACAAAGAATGTCAGACACGTGGGGCTAGAGTTGACAATGAAGCACAAAAGGTGGTGCCTAGCCGAAGACACTGGAAAGAAGAGGCCAGAAATAGGAAAAGTCAAAATGCTTAACAAGAAATCAGCTGTGGGGTGGGTTTGGGTGTTGTGAATACTCTAGTTCTGTTTCTTTTTTGCTGAGAGTAGTATTAGGATATCTTCTGGCTTTTTTTTTTTTTTTTTTTTTTTTGTAATATCTAACTTGTCCTTGTAGTGAAGTTTTTCGTGATCAAGATTTGTGTGTAAACTGTTCTCTACCTCTTCTGTCTTTTACAAGTTTATGGTGAAGTTATGTTAATCTGTTATCTGCTGGACTTTTGGTCAGTAGCTGTACAGAACCTGAAGTTGACGGTTGCCTTTAATGGCTGATAGTGCGTGTGTAGAGTATATTTAGGATTGGTCGAGTTTTATCCTGACCACTTTCTACAAAACCCAACGACATATCTCATCTATTCATCTCCAGAAACTCAATTACAGATTCTGTCAGCGCAAGTTCCTGTTCCTGTACTTGAGGGATATAGCAACTGATCCGTCAACTGATCCCTTGACAGTTGCCTAAAATTGTTAAATTCATTGCAAGCTGTCCTCTTGAATAATCGAAAGCAGCGACTGAATATGGTTTATCAGTTTATCTGGCATAAGTAGCATTTGGTGCTATTCCAGCAATCGCGTTTATATATTACAATACAATCAGGTTATGGTCTTCAAAATGGAAAACAGATCCTAAGAAAGAAGAATATACCCAAAAGGAAAAGTTCTTGATAGGAATTTGCTATTTCTGCACAGAAGGTGTTAATTGACACGGTAGCAAATCTATAGTTCTATGCCTCCACTGCTACCTTTTTAATCCACTTATTGCATGTTATAGAAACACGAAAGTTGCTTTCATACATCTTCTACATCAATTGTTGACACCCCATGGTTTTCTATGGCTTCAATGCATATAGCAGTTCAATATTTTGATTGAATAACCGCGGACAGGTTCAGTTCATTCTTGTTTGAAAACACGATTTGCAAGTTGAAACACACGAGCAACGTTGGATGACATGGTTCCCCAGTCTGGCAAGCTCCTTTGGAACATATGCATTTGGTTAATGAAATTAAAATTTGAGATTTGATTATCAAGCATTTCAAGGAATAATGGAAAAGTCTGCTAGATCATTGAATATGAACAGATGAAAGTCTCAAAAGAAAAGCGAAGATGCTAATCATGCGACTACTAGAGTTACTAGCAAATTTTACAAGAGAGAATTTGTAGGTGCCATATTTCAATAGTAACACCAAATTCCCCGACCCTGTCTGTACTAACACCGGTCAACTTTCAATCACAGCATCAGATGCACCTGCTATTTTTCTTTTCTATGGATATGAAATCCAAGAGAGAAAATATGAAACTGTTCATATTCTGGCAAGCTCCTTTGGAACAGGTGCAGGCGGTTCAGTTCAGTTAATGAAATAAAATTTTAGATTTGATTATCAAGCTTGCAAGGAATAATTGAAATGTCTTTACAATCATGCAATACAAGAATTACTAACATATTTTACAAGAGAGACTTTGTCAGTACCATATTTCTATAGTAACAACAACAAATTCCCGGTCCCTGTACCAACACCGGTTAACTTTCAATCGCAGCAATAGATACACCTGCTGTTTTCCTTTTCTATGGATATGAAATCCAAGAGAGGACATATGAAACTTTTAATAAGAGAAAAAGGGAAAAAAAATGACAAGTAGGGGATATTTGAGGATGCATGGGAAGTAGCATCCTAGCATACACAGCTATCAACTAGATAATGCTTGCACTTAATCTATTTATGAAGATGGTAAGCATCCACCCTTCTCACATCCTCAAAGCTCCAATCCCTTCTCATCCCGCTGCTCCTTACCAATCTTGGCGTGCCCGTCTCGATAGGTGCACTATTGTGGATCCTATATTTACCCTTATTCGCATTCTTTTCAGCCATCAGAATCGTCCCAGTTCGCACTTTGTCATAACTAGGAGGCCTTGGCACCAGATTTCCTGACCAGCTCCTGTCAACTGTAGGCAAAACCATGTAGCCATTCGGCTTTCCTTGGTACAATCCGCTTCTCATATCAACATCTGAATCTGTCCTCTTCATGCCTTGACAGGTCAAGCAATTGAGATTCATGGTGTTAAAAAAGGAGATCAACTGTGCGCTTTTTTTCTTTGTTTCTGTGCTATGATCAATCTGATGGCTAACCCCAGGGAAGCGGCAAATAGGTTACCTAATGATTCAAGATGTACAGTTTTTATTTACATGTGATTGAAGATCTCTTGTGGGTTAGGATGGATGGAAAATCCCAGGCAGATTGGAGCTGTGATAATCCACAAAGAATGTTTAAGGGAATAGGTTGGTGCAGGCTTGGGGTGCTGCTTCCCATTTTGGCCATAGGCATTGTCTTCTTGTTAATAAGAATTATTCTTTGTATTTCCCTCAAGATTAGGTCCTAGAAAAATGGTGAACCAATGATCCAATTCATGAGAAGCAAAGAAATCTCCAGGCTTGCAAACCCGAGAAAGCAGCAGCAGTGCACTTGACCGTATATTTAATTTGTAAAGGATTTCTGAACCGCGTCTGTAATAAGTCAGCAAAAATAAATCATTGTTTGGATCTACTAGTTTTTCAAACACTATAAAAACTTTTAAAAAGTACTCTAAAAAATAGTCTAAATTTTTTTTTATATTCAAAAAATATCTCAAAATATATTTTAAAAACTCTATTACTCTTAAATATTTCAAAATATTTTCTAAAAGTATCCTAAAATATATTCTAAAAACTCCGCTACAATAAAATTTTTCAAAAATACCCTCAAAAATAGCTAATTCAAACGGAGGTGTCTGAGCCAAATGTGGTTGATTACATTTGATCAATGATGAATTAGAATAGACACCAAGGTTTGAGAGAAAATACGCACACATGTTTCCTTCTCAAATGAAATCTTACATGTTGCAACAAGGATGGCTGCAATAATTCATAATATATATTATTGAGCAACACTAAATCAACGTACAATAAAAATTATTTGAGAAAAGGCCTGGGTTGAATTGTCATTTTTTTTCTCTAAAAAATGTTTACGATTTCGTGAAATATTTTTTAATCGTCTTTTTACGTCACAAATCAAATTATTACAGTGCATTTTTTATTCAAAAGTTTTCAAAAAGACAGCAATCCAAACAGAATCTTAAGTATGCTGAGATAATTTATAGAACACAAATTGATAAAGCAATAGAGGCAAAGAGCTACTCTAACCCATTACTTGCTCAATATTACTAGTATTGTTCCTAGACTTGAACAATCTTTTCACCCTATCTGACAGATTAAGGTCAGACGTGGGAAGAATCAAGGACGTGGATGGTGGATCCCAGCTCTACGACGCCGTCTTCCACAGGTGTATTAACCAAAGTCTGGATCCCATATTTCCGGGCCTCATCTGCATGCGTACAATCCAAGCCCGCCAGCTTCTGAGTGCCAGTAACCCAAATTGCAGTAGACGTCTCGAAGGCCCGGCCCGGGAGCCCAGCTCCACCAACAAAAAACTGAGTCGCAGAAACGAGGAAAAACCACAGCGAATCAGTCACCTCTTCTTCCGGCTCTGCAACTCCCTCACACAACAAAGAGGTGATCTGCCGGAAGACACTTTTCCTGTGCTCTAGCTCCCCCACACACGGCGGAGGCATTGCTCGAAAATTAGTAATCTGTCCAGCTTCTTCAGAGAAGTACCCATCACACCAGCTTAACAGTAGAGGATTCATGGGGTCCAAAGCTTCAGAAACTCGCCAGAAGATTGCGTACGTCCAGCCTTGCCGGGCATCTTGAATGACAGATTTCAAGCGTTTCTGGATATTATCATCACGGGCAACAGATGATCGCCTATGCTTAAGTCTGTCTTCGGGCCTGACAAAGAGGGTCCTGATAGCCATCTCCATAAGCTCATCTTCGGGCCTAGTGGCAATGACCCGGATAGCCCGCTCCCCCTTAGGTGTATCTTCCGGCCTGGAACCGGAGATTGGAGGGATAACCGGCTTTTCTTGTCCTATTGATTGATAAAACTTGATCAAGCGCATGTATCGAGTTCTTATATGGGAGAAAGAATCATCTTCCATGGTTCCAGTTAACCAGAAATGACTACCCTTGTTCGTTCATGCAATTATGGTATCAGACTCTCATTGTAGTGGAGCAGCACTAAATATCAAGTCCCAAAACGAAATTCAGAAGTCAGAAAAAAGGGTCAATGGAGATGTTTGTGGACGGCAAATGTAGTCTACAGAAATTTGAGAAATAGGAAAAACATCTTGACCGTAGCTGGAGATGGACCTAGAGTAATAAATGGGGTCGTTAGGAGCTCCAAGTTGAATAAGAAGTTGCATGTTGCAAGCTCGCATTCATTTTTGGCTCATTCGGCAAATTAGTCCATTTGGTTTACCAGCTACTCGTGGTTCTTTACAAATTTCAAATGACAAAAAGAATGGAGTGTAGTTATTCTGTCTTAAAAATTACGGTACTACTTTAAAGATAGCTTTTATGCAAAACTAGAACTTCTAATCAGACTTTGAGGTTTGAATTTGGATTGGATTTAAGGATAGGATGGATTATTCTCCAGGAATAAGTAGATAAACTGACCAAATCAAATAGATTTTTTTTCAAACTTTTAATCAAGTTTTGCATTTTCATTTGTTTTTGTATATTAATTAGCCACAAAATTGGAACACGTGATAGAACGATTCGTGCCTAATTTGGCATTTACTTTTAGCAAAAAGTTGGCGAAGCCATCTTCATAGGAAAAAAATGATTAATTCTAGATGAACTCAATAAAAACATACGGGTTTCTTGTAGGGACGATGAAAACATTCTGACAAGATTTGTGCGGCCAAAGAAAATCCCTCCATCATTAGCATAGCAATTATCTATATACAGGGACGGAGCCAGAAATTTATTTTTGGGGGGCTGAAGTGTATTAAAAATTTTTTTTTGTGACGAAATAAATATATTTAATAAGTAAAATTTAGAATCAATAATTATAAAAATAATAAAAACATATAATTATACATACCCAAAAATTTGTTATTGATTAACACTTGAATTAGTGGTAGTTGTTGCACTCGAATAACGAAGAGGAGGCAATTGCATTCTGCGAGTCTTCATCCGTTGAAAACGTTGCAATATTTGCTCATTTTCAATTGTTGCAAAAATATCCTTCTCGATGTATACAACCAGACAGTCATTCATCCACTCGTCTCCCATTTTGTTGCGCAAATCAGTCTTGACAATATTCATTGCAGAAAATACTCTTTCAACAGAAGCAGTCGCAACTGGTAGAACTAATGCCAACTGGATCAGACGATAAACCAATGGAAAAACTGTATTTTTACCAGTTTTAACCATTTGTTGAGCAAGACTTCCCAAATCTCCAACTTCTGAAAATTGAGGATCGCGTTGCACATTATAAATATAATTTCGAAGTTGAGACTCAAGATATAAATAATCGTTACTTGAGAAATCTTCAGGATATAAATCAGCAAGACGGAGTAGTTTCTGCACATTGAATTGAGAGAAAGAACTTTTTGGATCAAGACATGCTATGCAACTAAGCAATTCCGTGCTAACTTCCGAGAAACGATTATTCATCTCTTGTATAATTAAATCAACAACCTGACATCACAACAATAATAAAATTAATAACTAAGAAAATCTGCTAACAAGTAACAAATGTAATGAAATAATAATTTCAAAAATAATACCTCACAAAAAATTTCCACGCGATAATGATGAAAATTAGTGATGGTTTGACCTCTGCGACTGCGCCTGGCATTGCCACGGATTGCTATACTGTCTTCCATATCAATCACGGGAATCATATTCAACTCACAAAAATTGTTGACTTCATCTAAAATTATTTGCCATCCCTCTTCCCTAAAGTCTTGCAATTGAGATTTCATAGTATCAATCAAACTCATGGCTTGGACAATATTTTGATCCCTTTGTTGCAAAACAAGTGACAAGTCATTTGTGATTCCCAATAAATACTTCATCAGGTGCAATGCAAAAACAAACTCATAATCATTCATTCTATCAATCAAACCCCTGGCCATACCTCTATTGTCAGAAGTGGAGGCATCATCTTGTATATTTCCCAATATTCCAATCACCGAAGCCCACATAGAGGATAGACGAAGTAATGTTAGATAGTGTGATCCCCAACGAGTATCCCCTGGTCTTGCTAAACTAGTTTCTTGATTTTTGCCTTTTCCACTAATAATATCTCCACTGTCTAAAAGTGTAACAATCTTATCATATTCTATTTGTCTTAATTGATCTCTCCTTTTACATGATACTCCAGTTAAATTGACAATCATAGAGACATAGACAAAGAATTCACTGACAATGATATTTCCCTTAGCAACAGCAACAATAACTAACTGGAGTTGGTGAGCAAAACAGTGAATATACATCGCATAGGGATTTTCTTGTAATATAAGGGCCTTCAAACCATTGAACTCACCTCGCATATTTGAAGCTCCATCATATCCTTGACCTCTCAATTTGGATAATGATAATCCGTGTTGCGCGAATAAAGAATCAATTGCATCTTTCAAACAAAGAGATGTGGTGTCAGACACATGTACAATTGCAAGGAAACGTTCAATCACACGCCCTTCTTTGTTCACATATCTCAAAACAACTCCCATTTGCTCTTTCACTGAACTGTCTCGAGACTCATCAACTATTAGGGAAAAATAATTGTCTCCAATATCATTGATTATAACACTTGTGATCTCTGAGGCACAAGCATGTGCCAGATCTTTTTGAATCATTGGAGAAGTTAGTTGATTATTTGCAGGAGCATTTTGATTTACAACCTCAAAAATCTCAGTATTTCGCTGGCTATACCACTCAAACAATTCAAGAAAATTGCCTCTATTTGAAGAACTAGTTGACTCATCATTTCCACGAAAAGCCAATCCTTGCTTCAAAAGAAAGCGGGTCACATCCAGAGCAGCAGTTAAACGGGTGCGATATGCAATATCTATTTCGCGCCCACAAGATCGTAGCACATTTGACACACTATGCCTTTGATCTTGAAAACTTTCAAACTGTATTCTAGCATCATTATGGCAACTATTCACAGCTCCAATATGTTCATTAAATCTTTCCATTGCTTTTTTCCAATTATTGAATCCCGTTTTTGTAAAGGCATCCTCTGCATATCGACCTCCCTTATTTTGTGTTTTGAAAAGAAAGCACCAAAAGCAAAACGCCGCATCTTTCGATATGCTATACTCTAACCATACAAACTTTTGATACCAACTATCTTGGAAACTTCTATGTTGTTTACCAAATGATGTTTTTGGATACATATGGCCAATCGGTTGGCAAGGTCCCCTAGTCAAATACTCTCTTCGGACATGGTCTCGAAGAGAAATATCAAATTTCTCAACTGATTTTCGTAATCCCGGATCACTAACAATATCATTTAAATTCAATTCCACACAAGATTGATTTTGAACTGGTTCACTAATATTAGGCTCATTTGAAGATTCACCACTACGGACTCGTTTAGGTTTAAAGAATCTCTCCATTTTCTGTCACAATTAAATAATTGTGGTTAAATTCAATAAAATTATGCAATTCAATAATCAATTAATTTAAAATTCATATAAATAATTCTTTAATTTAATAATAAATTCATATTACTTATATTTCTCAATTTATAAAATTCATTATATAAAATTATCAAAAAGTTAAAATAAGGTACAACTAAATACCCATATAATTTCTAATTCAATCTCATAAAATTTTGAATTTATATTTACATTCAAAATTTCTAATTCACATAATTAATTCTTAAAATTTCAAATATAAAACTAACAAAATTTTAAAAACTAAATACAACCTAAAATCTATACAATTTCTAAACTAATTTCTAATTTAAATTTAATATCATTAAATTTTTTAATGTAATCTTTCAAATTCTTAAATTACATTAACATAAACTAAATAAAAATTAATCTTAATCAAATTAATATCAAGATACTCAAAATTCAAAAATAATTTAAACATATAATTAACAAAAATATAAAGATGAATATTGTAATTTAAACCAAAAAACTAACCTAAAAGATTTATGTGAATGGAATGGTGGAGAGTTGGAGTCTTGGAGCCTTGAATTGAAGGCTTGAAGCAGGATGGTAGAATCTCAACTGAAGCTTCTTGGAGTTCTTGGAGCCTGGCGTGAGTGGCGTCTTCTTCTTGGAGTTGGAGACTTGGAGTCTTCGTGAGTGGCTTCGGTGTTTGCCCTTTGGCCTTTGGCATTGGCGGCGTGCTTTTGCATCAGATGAAGCCTTAGGGCTTCATCTGATGTATTTTTTTTTCCCTCATTATACAAAACGACGTCGTTCCACTAAAAGTGAAACGACGTCGTTTTGTATTTAGAGGGCAAAAAAAAAATTCAACATAAATTGGGTCATCTTCTTCCTCGGACCTCAGCAGTCAGCAGACTCAGCACGGCAGGCTGGCAGCGGCTTTCCAGGCCCAGCTCTTCTTCACTTCCTCTGCAGCATTCATGGAGGCATGGAGCCATGGAGGATGGTAGATCTGGATCACCGTGGGGGGACTGGGCTGGGCTGGGCTGGCCGCCGGAATCCCCTATATGGCTATATATAGGGGATTTTCCGGCCGCTTGGGGGGGGCTTAAGCCCCCACCAGCCCCCCCTTAAATCCGTGGCTGTCTATATATACATGTGAGTACAGAACCCTACCAACAATTACGCTAGGTCTCCTATTAATTAGAAGAAGAATATGCTAACTACTATATATACAAGAGATATATACCAAGTTGATACATATCTTGACAGATCTTGACAGATATATATCTTGACACCCCCCCTCAAGTTGGAGCATGGAGATCACAAATGCCCAACTTGCGAAGGAAAGATCCAAATTGCGACGTCCCAACGGCCTTAGTGAGAATATCAGCTAATTGCGCATGAGTAGACACATAAGCTGGGCGAATGGTGCCATCCTGTATGGCATCACGGACAAAATGACAGTCAACCTCAATATGCTTGGTACGCTCATGAAAGACAGGATTAGCAGCAATATGTAGAGCAGCCTGACTATCACAATATAAGAGCATCGGTTGAGAATGGGAAATCCCAAGATCACATAATAAAGCTTTTAACCATTTTAACTCGGAAATAGTTGTAGCCATGGAGCGATATTCTGCCTCAGCGGAAGAACGAGATACAGTAGGTTGTTTCTTTGTT